CCCCAAAACCCCAAAACCCCAAAACCCCATCAGCATTAATTTTTTGGGACTGGGTATAACATGAATATTTAAAATATGTAATAATTTGTTTATTATAAATAAATAATAAAATTAATTTCAAAATGGAAACAACTTTGTTGGAAAAAATAGAACAAGAATTAGAAATCGTTGAGAGTATCTACTCTGATGATGGAGTTATAGTTACTAGAGCATAGGAATCTAAAAGCCATGGTTCAGATCATGTTGAGTGTCTTCTCAAGCTTTAACCAAATACTGGGTTTAATGCTTAGAAAATCGCAGTGATTGTCGAAGCTAGATTAACCTTTCAACCATCGGTAAGCTCCACTATATATCTATACTGAATTAAACTGAAAATTTCATAGTATCCAGCTGATCCTCCTACGTTTGAGTTCTCTTCTGTCAAAGGCCTTGATGATGAACAGATTGATCAGATTGTTCATAAGTTTACATAGGAGTAAGTTGCATATGAAATTTATGACGATATATGATAATATCTTAAAAGTGTTTTTGACTTACGGCCAATTATAGGTTACAAGGCTTATCTGATTAGAAGAAGGAGAATAGCGATGATACAGGTTACATTTATGATCTTCATGATAAATTCAGAGAAATTTTGACTGAATTTAATGACACTGTAGATGGAAGATGCGCAGTATGCTTGGAAAAGTTCTGCGAAGATCAAACTAAGTTGTCTATAGAAAAATTCACAGATCGTGTTGATTTAGTGAGAGTCGACTAATGTTTCCACAGATTCCACTTGATTTGTCTGTATAGGGATTGGTATATGACAAGAGTCAAGGAAAAGGATGAGTTTGGATGTGAAATCGAGTATAAACCTTATGAGCATAAGAGATGTCCTATCTGCAGAAGACATGTCTCTCAGTAAGAACTCGACTATATCAAGACTCTCTTCAGCAAACACCCTGAAGTGGAGAATCATGCCTACAAGTATTGAGGTTCTGTTAAGACTCTCATCACCTTAATCACTTGAAGTCATACTCAAATTAGCTGACTCTAAGAGGAAAGTTTTCAGATATTTATCTTACATTTCGAAAGAAATCAAAACTTGCAGAAGTCAAATTGTTGGAGAGAGGGCAGTGAATATTATGACTTGGATTCAGAATTAAGGTTTATGACTTTAAAATTGCAGCGTGTTTTTATCAGATATATTGCAAATTTATGGTCGAACTTTAATTTTAATGATTAAGAATATTAACCTCTTCTCCTCTATATTAGAGTCACGGGGTTTTGGGGTTTTGGGGTTTTGGGGTTTTGGGG